GAGCGCCACCACACTCCCAAGCGGCGCACTGTAGCAGTGCGCCACCGGGCCGGCCCTCAATCTGCTATTTTAAACACTGTTTTAAACATCTCCTTGCTTTTTTGCCCCTTTTGTGTGACTTACAGCAAAATAACTAATCTGAGAAATTCTGTTTACCCAGCTATAAAATGAGAGTAATATACTTTCCCTCTCATACTCAGCAGGCTGTTATGACAGCCATATAAGATTGTTCATAACTGTAAACATTTGAAACTGTAAAACATTATACAAATGTGTAATGTTAGTATTGCAGCGCAAACTATGTACATGAGATTTCAACTTCTTTTTCAATTCTTTCTTTTCCCAGTCATCATTTCATCATTACCATCATCGACACAAAAAAATTATTACACAGCCACACAAACATTATACTATTAAGAATACTATGTTTAACAAAGTAAGTAAAACAGAATTTGCCTTTTATGAGTTTATAGTACTAAGCTTCTTTAACAAATCCAAGCTCAGTTTTTTAAGAAGTCTTTTCCTGGTATTAGAGACCTAATTCATCTTAGGCTCTGGAACTAAGAAAATAGACATAGTAATTGAAAACCAAAGCAACAAGATTATATTACATCTAAAAAGTTACATATTGTAATGATGAAAAAGTTAACTATCCTGATTTTGCCATCACATATTGTACACAAGTATTGATAGTCAACTTTGTATCCCACAAGTAGTATAGTCATTGTTTCAATAAAAAATAAGCAATTAACTAATTAAAATGTAACAATAAAAAATACATAAATCAAGTACTTGATGTAAATCATGAAATTTCTTATTATTTCTTCTTTTGGCAATGTCTTACTATGAATGACACATTATTATTTTAAAAATGCAATATTGATCTTGTGACATGGAATGAAGTAGATCTCCTCAAACTGGTCACCAGTTTTCTGTTTGGTAATGGCTGTTGTGGGGAATAGTATCACAAGGACAGATTTAGGAGGATGAGTGAGATGCTGACAAAAGGAAGAAGAAAGATGTGGTCGCGTAACAAAATGAGAGACATTTAACAATTGGCGTCCAATGGGATTTCGATCTGTCTTCCTGTCTGCTTTTCTTTTTTTGTGTGCATTTTTTTAAAAAAATATATTTTCAACCCTCCATTAACTGTACATTCTATTTTATGATCCATTAATGGACGTGTAGGGAGCCTGCTGCTTTGTCTTTCAGAATGTCTGCCCTTTTTGCCCAATAATTTATCATGCTACTCCCATCATTCTAGAGCATCAATAAGGGAATGGCATCTGTCCTCTCAATCTTGAAAAGGGCAACCTAACAGAGGGGCCTTCAGCTAAGCTTTGTCTTTCTCTTTCACAGGAATCACCACGGTGCTGACAATGACAACCATCAGCACTCACCTCAGGGAGACCCTGCCAAAGATCCCTTATGTCAAAGCGATTGATATTTATCTCATGGGATGCTTTGTGTTTGTGTTCCTGGCTCTGCTGGAATATGCCTTTGTAAATTACATCTTCTTTGGGAAAGGCCCTCAGAAAAAGGGAGCTAGCAAACAAGACCAGAGCGCCAATGAGAAAAACAAACTGGAGATGAATAAGGTCCAGGTAATGTATTAAATACTCCTAACAGCATTCTTCCTAAATTTATCACAACATGGTGCCCATGGCTCTCATAATTGGGGTGGGGGGGGAATCTTATAAAATATTAGTTTATTTTTAATAAGACTCAACCAGCCCTTCATTTTATATGTTTGGGAACTGAGGATTATATAGATTAATAACATATCTAGGCCTAGTACTGAACCCCAAGTCCATTATTGTTTATTCTAAACTATTTGTAAGACTATATTTTA